AGCATTTGCTTGAATTTTGATTGCACCTCATAAAAGACACTCAGGAAAGAGAACTTCTCAAACAGCTTCAGAACGTGGCCAAGACTGGTAGATTAAGAATATTGAAAGCAGGGGATAGTATTTTAAGGGAGACTGGCGGCAATGTGTCTTTTACACTAATGAATTATTTTAAACCTCACATATAATGTTTAAAACAGTCAAAGATCACAGTGACTAGCATTTATTCACCTTCCATGTCAGTCAGTTTTCCCTGTGCTTTATTTTTGCTAGATTTCTCATTCATGTCACAGGGCACGTGCTGTTACCTTATTCTTGAGCCTTATTTAAGATAAGAGGTTAAGGAGTTGGGCCAGGTCTTCAAGACTGGTGGACTGTGGATTTGAACCCCTGTACCTGGCTCCAGAACCACTGTTAATCTCTAGATTGCCAGTGATTATATTTCTTTCTCCCTTTTGGAAGAATAAACCACGTTGTCAATACACAGTGCTGGTGTGGAGGTGAGAGACAGACACTGTTACTGGAGTAAGTTTTTCCTAGTTGCCTTTGGGATTTGAGTACTCTTCTTCAACTTTCTTATATACTTTTTTCCTACAGTCAACACATAGTTTTACAATCAGGAAAAAGAATACAACTATCTTAATTTGCCATCGTGATTAAGGTGATATTCTTAGCTACAGCTAAGTTTTCTCTGCAAGTTAAAGAGTGGATTAGTAATCTTGTAGCTGTGATAAACAATAGGTAGATGTACTGATAGAGAGTGTTAAGATTAGAGAGAATATGAAGTGTAAAAAGATTTATGTATGCTGTGGTTCTAACTGGTTCTCTGTATGTTTTTGAATAATTGTGTTCATGAGTATGTGCAAATATGTATTAAATATATAAAATTTAAAGGGTTCTTTTAAAACTACTTTCACACCCTTTGGCAGAGAAGAGGATGTTTTAAACTTCCCTGCTTTAACATGTTCAATGATGGGGCTGTACATGTGTGACAGTCCATGTTGCACAATATAACCTTCACGTATGTACTGCTGGTGGCTCAAGCTTGTGGAAATGTGTTGACTTCTTGTATGTCCTGCATTGTAAAAGTGGGCTGTACAGTATTTATATATGGAATATCTGTGTACAGTGAAGTTTACAATACTCAGAATGGGAACCCTTGCGAGATGATTTAACCACTTATTGGAGCCTTTAGTGTGAATTCTGATAGTCTTCTAGTCTGCTTGTGAGTTAAGCTCAGAAATGTTTTTGCATTGTTATAACCAGGGAAGTGTTCTTAAATTTTTAATGTTTTCAGCATTATTCTGAATATCTTAGATTATGCTGCATGACAGTCCTTTAAATTTTCCCTTTTTTCCCTGGTGATGGGAGGAATCAAACCTAGGACCTCACATTTGCTAGGCAACCCCAACTCCAAATTAAAAAATCGTTTTTGACTAGGTATTCCTGTGGCATGGCAGCACATCATGGTGGGAGTGCATGGTAAAGCAAAACTGCTCTCGTAGGACCAGCAAGTGAAAGAAAGAAGAGGAAAGAGGCCAGGGTCCCATAGTTCCCATCAAGAGAACACTTCCCAGGGACTCCATAAGGTTCCACTTCTAAAAGTTAAACCACTTATTAATAGTGCGATGGACTGATAACCAAGCCTCCGATACATGGGCCTTCAGACATTTAAGATACAAACTATAGCAAAGGGTAATTCTGTGTTTAAAACTACATGGGGTAGCATTCCTCACATAACACATTAGCAGAAATGTAAAAGTTGGTGCTGTATTTTGTTTGTGAAGCTGTGCAGAACCATTACTTTTGTATATACTACTGGTAGATGTTTAAATGGTAAGAATCTTAATGAAGTAGAATATGGCAACATCTACCCAATTAATTTGTCATTCATTATGTTTGAGACAAGCAGTTTTTCATATGTTCAAGAGCCATGTATTTTTCTATGAACAATTTGTTCCTCTGCCCTGTTTTCTTTATACTGTTGGTCTTTATCTTAAATTGTAGAAGCCCTTTATATATTAAAAGAAATAACTTTGTGATATGAAGCTTTTTTTAAATTGGTACTGGGGATCGAACTCAGACTTGAGATCCTCCTGTCTCAGCCCCAGCTAGACACTACCATGACCAGCTTCAACCTAACTCTTCAATTTCTCTCACTTCTCTGTTCCACTATAATGTAACTGCCATTTCCTTGTTCTTTAAATCAGTATAATTCCCATTGCAAATATTCTTTATAACTTATATTTCATATTAACACAAGTGGGTTTTTTTTTGTTTTTGTTTTTGTTTTGGTACTGGGGATCAAACTCACGATGCTGCTGCTGAGCTGAATCCCCAGCCCAAACACAAGTGATTTTTGTAGTCACTTAAAGTTAAGCAGGAGCAAAAAGAAAGCATATGGGGCAGACAAAATAATATATATGGCTAACATAAATAAGTAAAAAAGAATAAACATTTGCACGTTCCTCTCCCCAGAAAAGGAAATTGTATTTACGATGACAGATTATACACCTAACAGCAGATGTGTGGTAGGACTCTCAGTATTCCAGGATGTGGAGCATTTAAATTTGAGAGGTGTGAATCTGCTAATGTTTATTTTACTCAGAATTACATTAGTAGTTAATAGAACAGATATTTGAGATTGATGTCTATTATACTGTATCTGTGGTACTTTTTGAAATATCTACCAAACGGATGAATTTTGGCAGTAGGTATTGAATATGTAGAATGATATTATCTGCAAACCAGGAGCTTAAGACACAGTGGAGCTGAGGACTAAACAGAGTGCTACCTACAGGCAAGCACTATAGCACTAAGCTACTCTCTCAGTCCAAGAAAATACTTCTGAAAGAGTGTCAGTAACATGGGAAAAGGCAGAGTAAAAACATGGGCCTTTTCTCTAAAAGACTACATAAGAAACAGACTGGTATTTGGGATTGAGGACATCACCTTTATCAATTTGGATACTGTTGGTGCTGGAGAAGAGGGAAAAAGTAGGGAGGGGTAAGAGTAGCCCATGAGAAAAGAGATGGAAGCCAGATACTAAGAAAGAGAAGATGAAAGGTTTTTAGTACTAAAGATTCCCAATCTTATCTAAGCCTTATCTTCTCTAGAATGAATGGTCAATTTTTATCTAGTGACATGTTAATGATCATTTGTTTTAAATTCTAAGAAGTGCCTGATTGTTTTCAATAAATCTTAATACTGGGCCCTAAATAGTTTATAGAGAAAAGAAATTTATTTTCACAGTTCTGAAGGCTGGTAAATTCAAGGTCAGGGTTTTGCAGGTTAGGGCCAGAGTCTGCTTCCGGGATGGTGCCTTCAACACCTTGTCCTACAGAGAAGAGACATTGTCACATGGGGAGAGGAGGAGAGGAAAGTGTACTTGCTCCTATACCTTCTTTTTTTTTTTTTTTTTTTTTTTTTTTATTTAAGAGGAAAAAGAGAAAAACACAAAACAAACCAAAGCGGTGTAAGGGTACACGTAATACAGAACTACAAAAAAAAAAAAAAAAAAAAAAAAAAACCAAACAAACAAAAAAAACATAACAGTAAGAAATCACCTGTTAGTATATTACATATTATCATCTTGAAAATAGTTCCTCAAATCACAGTATCAAAGAATACAAGGTGGACATTCAAACAGGTAGACTGCAAACAGCTGTGTTCAATGATCCAAAAACATTGATACAGTCAGCTATTTAACCAGCTTCTTTTAAGGTGGCATTAGTCCAGGAGAACAGAACACCTCCTTCTTATTAGGACCTACCTTTCAGAACTGTTGCATTGGAAAATTCTAACATTTTAGTAAAAAAAAAAAAAATCAAACATGTAGAAAAGTTGAAATAATTTTCCATTTAATAACATCATCTACCATTCAGATTCTACATTTTATAATAGCTAGTTTATCACATATTCACCCATCACTCCATTTTATGTTTTAGTATAATTCAAAATTGTGTCAATCCCCATCTCTTATCAACATGAATTTAAGAGAAGACAAAAGCATTCAAACAGCAGTGAGTAAATGTTCAGTAATATCTAAATGTGTTCGCGAATACCATTCATTTATTTTATACCTGTTTTGCAGTCCACTTCCACCAGATCAGATGTTGAGCAAATAAAAGGCTTAGGCATTCTGTGTTTGGGGATTAGTTTTTTTTTTTTAACTGAATTAAAAAAAAAAAAAAAAAACAAGGCAGGATTCTTATGGAGCAGTAACTTCACAGCAGGTTCCTCTTGCCACCCTGCAGCTTGGCTCAGTCCACACACTGGGCTGTTCTCCAGGCGAAGCTCACTTCCTTCCGCAGAGCATCCTCAGGCATTTGTCTCCTTGCTGTGCTCATTACATGGAGAACTGAGGTTGATGTGACATGTTTTTTAAAAATATCCCATAACATGACAAGCAGAATTCTATTTTGCAGCTGTGTGAGAAAAGTACCTCCTCGTGGTTTCTTTGTCCTTTGTCCTGACCCAAGGGGACTACAGTGCTAGCAGTGCTTGGTTGCTTGCCTCTATCCCTCACTCCTCTGAGCTCACAGAGAAAAAAGAGCTGATGGGATTTCTTAATTGGCAGACTACCATATCATTTGTTTCTAAAGTAGGAAAGATTTCAAACATGTAGAAAAGTTAAAAGTTTTCCATTTAACAATATAAACCCACCATTTAGATTCTATAACATTTTACAATGACTGCTTTATCACATATGTACCCATCAATCCATTTTATTTTTTAATATAACACACACCCACATACCCACCCTGGTCTTTTATCACTAGCTGTGAATCCTTCATCTCCCCATTAAAAGAATTTTTAGCCGCAATTCCTGAAATTTCATCACCTCTGTATGATAGCTGCCTCAATATGAGTACACCAAGTAAATTATTTTATTAATGTGCTCTCTTTCCTAACAGCCAACATGTTTTCAAAGCAAGTAAGAGTTATTTGGATTTTTGCTCTTTGCTTTACCTATGTGACTAACGCTTCTGCATTCCCAATAGGCTCGGGTTATGTATGATTTTGCTGCTGAACCTGGAAATAATGAATTGACGGTCAGTGAAGGAGAAATTATCACAATTACAAATCCGGTAAGAGAACTTCATATTCATATTTGTCCCTTATTGACTTGTTTTTAAGAGTTGATGTTTTTGAGAAGTTAAATTCAATTTAACTTTAGTTTTTTTCTTTTGCTTATGAAGTATTGACTGTGCATTAAGATGCCAGTAATATACAATGAGAAGTTAATCCCCTAAAGATAGTTGAGGTTATTATGTCTCTCTGATTTTTTTTTTTTTTGGTGCTATTTAAGCCTTCCAGACACCCTATTATAGTAGTACTGGAACTTAGTTCAGTAAACTTCCTGCTAGTATCCATAATACAGTGATGTGGGATGCATGAGAGGTGATGCTGACTTTCCTGCATAGCACTGCCTCTAATCACTATCATTGTTGCTCTACACTTCATCCTTAAATTAGATTACTGAAAAGCAGTCTACAGTGTTTAGATTGCACTAGCTTAGCTCCTAGTGGAGCTCTCTGTACTGAATTGCAATTCATTGCTTCAACCTTGATTCATATAAGAAATAGCTATGTGTATAACAAACATATCTGCATCTTTACAAAGCCGTGTTTGAACATGTGTGCATATACATGCTTCCTTTGAGATTATACTCCCATGAATACCCACACACACATAAACACTCTTCATATATGTGTGCATATCTCTGTTCATATCACTAAGTATAATACTGTTCTTTTTTCGAAGCATCCATGCCATCTTTTGCCTGAGCCTTTTTCTCTTAGATTTTTGGCATGTTTTCCTGGCATGTTTTCCTTTTAATAAAATAAAATCTTTGCTTGATATTGAAAAAATATATGTTATGTATATATAATAAAATAAAATTTTCACAGACTCTAAAATCTTTGTTGCCAGGAAGCTTAGTACTCATTTTTTCTGTCATCTTACGGTGCTTTATATTACCTCTGTGTGATAGCTGAATCAATAGGTGCAATTGTCCTTTTTATATGTAACTCTGTTGTAAACATTCTTAAGGTATATAGAATTATGAGGTGAACCCTATTTAAAGTAAGGTTTTTTAGAAAATCATCTGAGTTCCTAGTATTTTGCTCAGTGTTTATGTACTGAAAAGAAATAAAAGCAGGTATGGAGAATTAGTCCGTGGCTATCACAGGGCTCCGCACACCTTCCTGGCCCAGGTTTCTGGACAGGTTCTTCCGCGTCCCTGCCTCCACCTTCAGGCTCCACACTGTACATATTTTCTCCTCCAAGTCACCTACATACTGCATGTGTGTACAGTCCTAATCTGGGTGCCTTGAGGTACAAAACTTTGCACCTGTCCTGGATTCTTTGTGTGCATAACTGTTTTGTTTTTTTCTGAATATTTCCAGCACAAGATAGCAGTTTTATTTGGCATTGTAGATCACGTCACTCTTTACATTTTAGCAATCCTTTTACAATTTCCTCTTCTTTCTGCTTTGCGTTTTTTGTTTTTCCTGTGACATTCCATGTTTGGCTTATTTTTTTTAATACTACATATGTATTCTGAGATTTTTTTTTAATTGTCTACTATATGCTAAGTCTGTCATATCTGCAACTTGACCATGTTTTTCAAGCCCCAGTTTTGGCATCTGGCTGTATCTTAGACATCCTTAGTTTTTTCCTAAGCTCTTCAAACTTTCTATGTGCTGCTTACTAGTGCATTTACCCTCGCAATACTAATTCTCTTCCTGAATTCTGTTTGATTTTGTTGTGGTATCACATCCATTTAGGCACCCACCTAAAAACTCCAAGTTGAAAGCCTTTGACTTAAGGCTAGCTCACATCTAACCTCTCCCTCTCTGTCTCTTCTGTCACACAGTACATTGAGCTCTTGTTTTATCTGAACTGTGCATCTTCCTGCTATCCTCTCCCACTATGGCTTGTCTAAAATGCCAGCCTCACCATGCCACTCCTCCCAGTGGCAAGTTCCCAGTCAGCTATGGGTCTGCAAGATACTCACTGTTTGGCACCACTCTTCCTCACCAGCCTTTTCCATGTGCATGTCACTTTTTGACCACAACAGCAACAGCAAGAGTGAGGCCTGGGGACACAAAGGTCAGGGAAGGAGAACCTCAGGGTGGCAAGGTACATAACAGTAAGGTCTTTCTAGTGAGAGTATTTTGAAAACCTGTATTATATGCCTTAGGTACAAAAAAAGAGTTACTGTATAGAACAACTATATGGAGTAATTTGGGATAATGCACTAAGTGTATATGAGCAGATAGGCTCCATTTTAATTGTGAGAGAGATTGAAGATCCTTTCGTCTGCCTTTTTTTTCAGTGATGTATTTCTTCATTTTCTTTATAAAATAGTATTGTCTTCCTGTTGCTGCTGTGGTAAAAATGTGACAGTTTTAATATAGAATGATTTTTAAAAACAATATGGTTAACTATAATGTACTATATATTTCAAAACTGAACGAAAGGATTTTTAATGTTTTCACCACAAAGAAATAACAGATGTTTGAGGAGATAGGCTTATCTTTAATTAAAAATTGTGCAATTTATAAATGTATTGAAACACTATGATATTCTATAAGTATAATTATGTGTCAGAGAAGAATGTGCTTTTTCAGACTGAAATAATTAATTAATTGTGCCATTATTGATAAGACCACTATTTTCAAGGGGAAAAATAGGGCTTTGCTGAGATAATAAGAAAAATGGGAATCTTACTGTAGAGTTCTACTATATTGTTTAGTCTGTTACTATTCTTTTTCCAGGAGAACTAATGACCATGGATCATTAGCTGTTTCAGTGTAACAGTCCAAAAACTTAGTGGTTTAACACATATTGAGTGGCTTGTCTTACAAACTGCTGATGGTTTGTGGTGGTACGAATGGATCTCATCCCTTTTATTGATTGTTTTTACTAATAAAATTGATTCATAAAAAGCCACCTGATAGGATGCGTATACCACTGGTGGCTATTCAAACCACCTGGCAGCAAGATATACAAACTATGGCCCTGTTGTGAATATGTTAAAGCAATACCCAAAAGTTACTGCTTAGGAATCCTTGAGTCATTGGATGGTGCTGCTCTCTAAAGTCACATGGGCCCAGCCTGGGGCTGTATGGTCTAAGACGGTCTCAGCACCAATATGGCAATTCTGCTGGATTGGCTGTGGATGGGGCAAAAGAGAGACTCATCTTCAGAGCAACGCAGATTAATTCGCATAGCAGCATGGGGCTCATGACAGTGAACTGAAGTGTATAGAGCCCCTTGAGTGAGATTAGACTGTGAACACCCATGGATAATTTGTAGACAGGTCACAACAGTATAGATTCAAGGGTAGGGATGTGCATTTTACCACTTGCCAGGACTACAACTACTCTTGCCACACAAATAAATAAAAATCACAAAATGATGGTAATTTAAGGAAAGACTATTTTCAGTCTGATCACCTGTTGTTGAAGTTCAATTTATCTTTTTTATTTAACATTTTGAAGTGTTCTATAGTAATAAAAAAGCTTAATATCAATTACTTTTTAATCTCACAATTTATAAATTATAACAATTCCCAAAGCAGAATTTCCACAGGAAATCCCAACTATAACATTTTTCTTTTCTTTTTCCTTGGTAACTTCTTTAGGATGTTGGTGGAGGATGGCTGGAAGGAAGAAACAGCAAAGGAGGACGAGGGCTTGTTCCCACCGACTATGTGGAAGTAAGAACTTACTGTCACTATGAATTAAAGCTCCTTTATGACAAGCATTTTTTAAAATCAGTTGTCAGTTAAAGGATAGTCACGAAGACAGCGACATTTTAAAAAATTCCCATTACACAAACAGTGAATATTAATTATATAAAATACATTGAAGTATAGTAAAACTAAAAAAGAATATTGGTTATAGACCCACCCATGCTCTAAGGAATGATTAGTGGTTTAGATTATATTCCTTTCAAGAATAGCAATTTTAGCTGGGCTTGGTAGCACACACCTGAAATGCTGCAAGCACTCAGGAAGCTGAGGCTGAAGAATCACTGTGAATTAGAGACAAGGCTGTACTTCATTGCAAGACCCTGGCTCAAAAAAAAAAAAGGAATATCAACCTTTACCTTCTCTGAATAAAGCTCCCTGTATTTTCTTTGCTCATATTAGATAGTAGCTGCTGCTTGTTTGTTATAGAATTGATTTACAAAGTTTAAATAGATTTTTTTAAAAGAACATGCCTCTGGGGCTGGGGATCTAGCTCAATGGCATAAGTGCCTGTCTGGCAAGTGCAAGGTTTTGAGTTTGATCTCCATTACTAAAAATAAAAAAGTTTAAAAAGTAAAAGAAAAAAACGTGCCTCTCAGTTCCTTCCCTGCAGGGTATCTTTTTTTTTTTTTAGATGGAGGGATATCTTGAATTGCCTACTGTAACCTCTGTTGTGATGCCTGTTATAAATCAGCCACCTGGTGCCCTCTGCTGGTTTCTGTAGGTGTCTAAAGACAGTAGTAGGTACTTGATAAGCTTGCCTGTATTCTTGAGTGACAAACTAATGTTGCCTGGGGCCCTGTGAATAAAACTGAAACTAGCCCAAGAATTAAGGTGCTTAGGTTTACCTCCAATAAAGAGAATGAATGCCCCTGGGGACATATTTTTCCAGGGGTCCAACTGCAAAATGTGAAAGAAAGCTGTTTCTGTTGTTCTTGACTAAGAAAAGAGATGGTGAGTTTCAAACCTTTTGGAAAATCTGATGAAGTTTGTAGATTTTCCCTTCAGAAATATGTGCACAAGCATATACACTAGTCTTATCCATATGATTTCAGATGATTTGATTTCAGATGATGCATCTGGGTTCAGTTCATGGGACTTTGGCTTATATCTGTTTTACTTTTTTGCACTGGGCAAATGGAATCCTAAAAATGTACAAGATTGAGAAAAATCTGAAAATTTAAATTGATCAACGTTTATTTCATTTTCTGGAACTCTTCTAGAAAGGAACAGTTATTTCATACATCTGTAAATTTATCTTTTAAGAATATAACCCCCTCAGCAGAAATAAAGCCAGTGGCAGTCAGTAAAAACACAGTTGAACTTAATAGTACCATCAATCAACTGAATATGATAGACATCTGTTGACTGCCTCATCTAGCAACAGCAGAATACATATCCTTTCTAGACATACATGAGGCATCTACCAGGATAGACCATGTTCTTGAACTATAAAACATGCTTCAACACATTTAAAAGAAAGGGAATATAGCAGTAGGAGAGCACATTCCTAGCATATGCAAGGCCCTGGGTTTGAGCCCTGGCACTGCAAAGAAAAGATTTTTAATTTAAAAAATTAAAAGTATACACAGGTAAAAAGGGGGTAAATTATGTAGTGTCTACTCTTAGACCTTAATGGAATTAAAACCATAACAGAAAGCTAGCTGGAAAATCCCAAAATACTTCAAAATTAACACAGTTTAAATACTCCTGAGTCAAAGAAGAAATCTCAAAAAATTAAAGAAGTTTAAGAATGAATGCAATACAACAAAAGTAGTCCTTAGAGGAAAATGTGTAATACTGAACAGTGTAAACTCCTTTTTCAGAAGAGGTGGCAAGTCTTGCTTATACTTAGAGGCTTTTACTTTGAAATCATTGACTCTAATCTGTGAAAATAATTGGAGTTCTTTCTGATACACAGATTTTACCCAACGATGGAAAAGATCAGTTTTCTTGTGGAAATTCAGTGGCTGACCAAGCTTTCCTTGATTCCCTTTCAGCAAGTACAGCTCAAACCAATTCATCAGCTGCCAACAGCAACAACCAGGTATGTCTTATACCACCTTGCTGTTTGTGACTGGCTTTACTGAGAGCAAAGTGCATTTGTGAAAGCTTATGGTGCATTATATAGCTATTGCCATTCTCTGAAAGCATAAACAGTTTGGTTTTTTTGGTGTGCATTTCTGTTGGTTATTAACAAAAAGCTCACCTGTTAAGTATACTAAAGACTGTCTTCAAGTTGTCTGGAAGGGAAAAGATAGGATGTTGAGAGTTGCTTCTAAGTCTGTCATACTGTACACAAAAACCTCAGTAGTTGTAAATACTCTGAAGTGAGTATATCGAAAGAAGATACAGTCCTGTTGATGAGGAGATCATTGTTAGTCATGTGGCTAGACCAGGACCTTGACATGTGACTCCCATTCTCAGAGCTAGAATGCCCTCACTGTGCTGATAGGAGCAGTACAGATCAAAGTCATGAGAAGATCCAGGGATTTGGGATTTGTCATGTTATTGTGTTGTTTCTAGAAGACTTAGAATGGTGGGATAAAAATGCAGTACAGCTTTAGTTTTAAAAATTGACCAGTTGGATGAATCTGTGTTGATTGCCAAATGCTTATCCAGAGTGAGGGACAAGAAGAAAATTGAGCATGTAGGGATCAGAATTTGCTACATACATCTTTAGAAATGAATGGACCTTAGGAGATATTCTTTTTTGTTAACTACATAAAAGTTTTCAAATTATGTTAAGCCTAATGATCATATTATTTATCATTATTTGCTTACAAAATATATCTTAAACTTTTAAGAAACCTGGGCTGTGTCCTAGTGATAAAGTACTTAGTGTAGATAAGCCCTGGATTCAATTCCAAGCACCACATAGTATACAGACACACACCCCAAACAGCCTTTCAAGAGAGTTTTTCAAAGTACTGTATTTTAACTATACGCTGTACATTTAAAAGGTTTTTCGAGACATCTAAATCACAAATTAGACCTAGATCTTTAAAATTCAGGGGCAAAATGATCACATAGTTAAATAGCTTCCTGTATTTTGTTACTCTGTAATACTGCACATGAGAACATTGGTCCTTTAAAGTCACTCTGTAATTTCCCCTGGGCACTGCTGACGATGGGCACCTGTTACCACTTCTCTTTGGCTTATTCTGTGTACCACTGAATGTTAGGGTTTCCTCCTGGCTTCTTCCCACTAGTTGCTCATAGCACCTTGACTTCTCAGTTGTGACACTCAAAAGTGTCTCCAGACATTGTCAGGTATCCCTGGGAACATAATAAACCCAGTTGAGATTCACAGAGTTATATTAAAAAAAAAATCTGGGGCTGGGGATTTAGCTCAGTGGCATAAGCGCCTGCCTGGCAAGTGCAAGGTCATGAGTTTGATCCCGGAACAAAAAAAAATCCATGAAATGGATTGGCATTAAGTAAAGGGCAGTATTTCAGTAAAAGAGAAATATAATGAAATGATTGTAGAATAAGTGAAGGAAGTTAAAAATATTAATATTACTTTAACTCAAGGAATCTATTCTAGCTGTTATCTTAGGGTAAGCTCAAGCACGTTAGCCAGTCACACCAATTCAAAATCACGTTCAAGTCTTGCTCTGTAAAGAAGAAAATATCTTAGTATTAAGTATAGTAATATTGTTACTAAAGTGTAAATTTTCCCCAATTTAGATAAACCGCCTTTTAAAAAATTTTAAACAGAAAGTAGACACAACAGAAATAAAGTTTCAAAACAGGCTAGTAGGAGAGAACAATAATCAACACTTGTTGCATATTGTTATATTCACAGTAGTTGTTCAGAGTGCAAGATGTAGGCATGAAACGTTCAGAAAAGTACTAGCACAGAACTTTCCTCTCAGTGAACCAAGAGAAACCAGCTATATAATTGTCTTAACTGACTTGCATTTTTATATATTTTTTCCCTTTTCACTTATTTCCTTTCCCCTTTCTTGCATCACAGTTTTTCTTTTCTTTTAAACAGCTTCTTCCTTACTCATAGTGTCTTTTGTACAATTCGGATATTGTTTACTCTTTCATACTCTCACACTAGTGAGACAATATGACATTTACAACTTGTGAGTCTGATTTATTTTACTTACAATTATGGTCTCAGGTTGCATCCATTTACCAATAAAAGTATCAAGTTTATCTTTTTATGGCAGAGTAGTATTCCATTATATAAAAATGCCATGTCTTTTTAATCCATGCCTCAGTTGATGGGCATTTGGGTTGTTTCCAAGATTTAGCTATTATAAATTGTGCTGCTATAAACATAAGTGCACATACATCTCTTTGTTATGATGTTTATAATTTTTCTGAGAAGATACCCAGGAGAGGAATGGCTGGGTCAAATAGGACCTGTACTTCCAGTTTTTTAAGGAATCACCGCACTGATTTCCACAGTGGTTGCACCACTCTACATGCCCACCAACAGTGGAGAAGGGTTCCTTTTTCCTCACAACCCTGCCAGCATTTGTTATTAGTGGTTTTCTTGATGATAGACATTTGTATTTCTTCATCTGAGACGTACGTATTCATCTCAGATGTCCATTTTTGGATTGGGTCTTTGAATTTTGAGGGCTGCATTTTTTTCAGTTCTTTATGTTTTAGATGTGTCATTTTTCTGAGGGATACCGGCTATAATTTTTTTCCACTATGCAGGTTGTCTTTTTACTTTGTTGGTGATTTCTTTTGTTGTACAAAAACTTTTTAATAAGGTAAGATCTCATTTGCTGATTCCTTGTTGTATTTCCTGTGTGGTCTGGGTTTTGTTCATGTATCCTCTCCCTTTTACCTATGTCTTCAAGATTTCTACCTATTTTCTTTTTCAATAGATTTAGTGTTTTTGTTTTAATATTTAGATCTTTGATCCATTTTAACTTTAGTGCCTGGTGATACACATGGGTGTAGTTTTAGTCTTTTGCATATAAAGAGCCAGTTTTTCCAGCACCATTTTTTAAAGAGCCTTTCTTCCAATGAACATGTTTGGTCCCTATGTCAATGATAAGGTGGTTCAGTGTTTGTAGTTTTGTCTACATCTTCTATTCCGTTTCACTGATCTTTGGGTCTGTCTTGTCTTGTCTTTCTTTCTTCTTTTTTTTTTTTGCCAGTACCAGTAGCTTTGTAGTAAAATTTCAGTTCAGGGATTGTGATGCCCCCTGACTTACCTTTGTTGCCCGTGATTGCCTTTGCTATTCTAGATCTCTTCTGTTTCCAAATGAATTTTTTTAAAGAGAATAAAACAAAACAGAATAAAAATTACAACAGAACAATGCAAGTGGTGATACAAGGCTTCAAAACAAGACAACAGGAAATCAACAATTGCTACTATAATGTCTCTTGTTTTCTTCAAAATAGCTGTCCATAATATGACACATAATAAGATCAAACCAAACAAAACAGAATAAAAACCAACCAAAACAAAAGAATGAAAACGTTAACAGGACTTTAAAACAAAATGACAGAAAATCAACAGTGGCTACCATAATGTCTATTGTTTCCTTCAAAATAGCTGTCCATACCTTCACACATAATAAAATAAATCAATACAGAATGACTAAAACCAATCAAAAGAATGAAAGCATTATAGGACTTCAAAACAAAATAATAGATAATGAATAATGGTTACCATAATGTCTCTTATTTTCTTCAAAATAGCTGTCCATATAATAAAGTCAAACAACACAAAACAGAACAAAACGAATGAGAACAATGTAGAACTTGAGAACAAGATGATAGAAAATCAAGAATGGTTATCATAATGTCTCTCATTTTTTCAAAATAGCTGTCCATACATCCCACATAATAAGACAAAATAGAATAAAACCAATCAAAATGAAACACTGAAAGCATTATAGGACTTCAAAACGAGATCATAGAAAAACAAAAATAGTTACCATAATATCCCATTATCTTCAAAATAGTTGCCCATCCCATCAGACCGAGTAAAATCTAACAAAACATGATAGAATAAAGCCAAACCTAGCCAAATTGTGCAAAAAATACAAGAATTCAAAGCAAGATAATAGGAAATTAACAATAGTTATATCACTTTCCCTTTTTAGGCGTCTCATTCCCATCAGTTTCATAATATCTGTTGTGCTTTTTGGGTCCCACTAACTCATTCAGTTTTTTATGTTAGAGGTAACTTGGTGTTCAAAACCATTTCACCCATGAACATGATCTCCAGCTGTATCTCTTTACCTTCAAAAGCATTGAGATTATCCTACTTTACTGCTGAGTAGCTTTTCATTGTATGAAAATACCGTATCTTTCTTATCTATTCTGCGGTTGATGAGCAAGTTACCCTTACTTTTTTCTGGTCTCCTGTGAGGTGGAACAATTGTTTTCTGTCTTTGATTTTCAGTCTGTGAAATTCCTTTCGAGTTAAATGTGTTTCTTGTATACAGTATATTGATAGATCTTGGTTCTTGATCCACTCTTCCTGTGCTGCTTTTTATTGGTCAGTTGAGGCCATCTACATTAATGGCATTGGTTCATCACTACCATGCTATCCTCCTGCTATTGGCCCTCCACTTTTCCCCTTCACTCAGTTGCCTATCCTGTTTGGCAGTCCTCCTCTGCTGCTGCTCCTGGAATAATGGTCATCTTTATCTCTCTAGAATATCCTTTAGCACTCTGTGGGGTGGGTTTGGTGGTCATGAATTCCTTCAGTTGTTCTTTATCGTGGAAGTGTCTTATTTTTCCATCAGTTTTGAAAAATAATTTTGTGAATATATCAGTCTGGATTGGAAGTTGTTTTCTTTCAGGATTTGAAACACTTCAAACTCTCTTGACTTGATGGTTTGTGTTGACAAGTCTGCCATGATTCCAATTGGTTTTCCTTTATAGGTGATCTGTGGCTTTTCTTTAACTGCTTTTAATATTTTGTTCTTGTGCTGAATTTTTGGGATCTTGATTATTGTATGTCTGAGTATAGATTTACTTTGGTTATGGCTAGTTGGAATTCTGTATGCCTTGCTTATCTGGATGCCAGATCCTTTTCCCATGTTTAGGAAGCTTTCTGCT